TACTCCGAGCCACCGTCAGCAGCCCTTAGCAACCGGCCAAACCTGTCTACCCCCTCCCGCTCCCCCTCTCCCAGTGCCGTGCGTGACAGAAATAGCCTTTCTTGCTCAGTGTGCCACGAGACGTTGCGGGGAATCGTTGCGTCTCTTTCACTCCGCCTGTGATATCACGTGTATTTGTGATATGGTTTCTAAGCAACTGTTAGATTTGATTATGTGTTTATAGAGCTTCATTAGGGGGGGTGGGGTGCATTTACGTTGTGTTTCGTGTTAAATTATCAGTAAGTGATCGCACTTTCACCAGATGCCCCATATCGACTGTTGACACGTCTGTCATCAGAAAGATACTGTGTCAACTTGAGCTGAGGAACGCAGTACAGCGTGGATATAAGCGTGCATTTGGCGTTTGGCGTCGTGACCTTAGCTGCTCATACATAAAACATTCACATAAACACTGCACTTAATAAGCAGTGTAAGTAGACAGGAAAGTTGACACAAGTGTGAGATAAAATTGATGAATAACATGTTCACTGGTTTGGACAAGCACGCGTGTGTACGTGTAGACGAATGCATTTATTATACTTGATATACCAATCTCTTGTTTGGCTGCAACTTCATACGCGTTAATCTGTTGTCAGAAGTACAAAGTACTTTCGAGTTCTATTTACGATATTGTTTTTCTTTCTTTGTATGTGCACGTAAAAGGAAGAACGTGATAAAATCGAATGTATGTATAGGTCTGCGCATAAAAAGATACATAGAAACTGCGAATGGACGCAAACAAAGGTGTGCTTGTCTGGCTGTCCGGTAATTCAACCGTGCTGCGGGATGACCATGGCTGTCTTTGTGCCTTAAAACGTCCGATTTAAACTGCAAAATAACGCCCACCGATTGTACAGGGGCTAATGTGTTGCGAAGTGCACCAAGGAATGTCGTTAGTTATTCCAGAGATATATTAACGTTCCTCCTTGTTTAACGTCGAATGAGAGCGTGAGGCTTCCTACCTCTCGGTCTCCTCAGGGCTCGTTCGGAAGGGCGGAGCTCATACTGCATGCGTAGACGTCAGTAGACACCATGTTTTTATTTAGGTAACAAGAATAGTACAGCATTATATATTTACAGAGCAAGATTAGTTTCCAAGTCAAATATATAAATGTTATATAGTATGTATGGCAACTGAAGTGCCAATGACAGGAGTGGACATCGCAGTGGAAGGAGCCTGCAAAACGAGACTGAGAGAGCAACGAGAAAGGCAAGAGGAAGAGGCAGGATGGATACCCATACTGAGAGCCCCCCGAAACCACTGTTGGTGTTGATGGTGGGCAAAAGTAGGGTGCGAGAGACGGGGAATGCTACCACTCTAGAGAGACTGAGGTAAGATCATTCAGTCGTAAGATTGCCTTGATTAAACACTTACCTCAAAATAAAAAATGTTGATAGCATTATCAGAGCTCCCGTGGCCTTGACGATTAAACCACTTGCGATTGTCACTGATGCTGCCCCTTTGCTTGAACTCCTCCTGTACGTTACTTATCATTCCGTCTTCTCTTTAATGTCAACAATGTTCATCAAGGTAAAAAAAAAAGTAATATCAAAGATGATTGGTGGGATTAAGTTACAATGGGCACCGATTGCGTACTTAATTCATGAAAAATCTTGCAAATCTAATCATATCCCCCGTGTTATACTGATAATAACATAAGATTATGTCATTGGTTTATACTGGCTGTACTTATGACATTATGAGTGTGTTTTAGATACCACGTCTGATGAGGAACTCTCGCCGGGTTCGAAAACTCGCGTTCGCATTCCGTTTCTTCTGTTGCAGCGTTCATTTCAGCACGGCTGGCAGACACCAGTCGAGTCGGCTGCAGTCGGCACAGGCCGGGCTCCCTCACAGGCTGAGCCCGGGCGAGGCTTGCGTCGCATACCTGGTTTACCCTTATCCTTAGTGTTTCATTTCATTCGTGGGCACACGCTGTGTTTTTGTTCATGTATATGCGCGTGCGCTCACACACATAGACGTTGCATTTTCCAAACTTTAGTGTTAAGCCTATTTTTCCAAGACTCAAGAGAGCACAAGGCTAGTTTCTCAATCATCATTTCTCACAGATTTATTTCTGAGCTGTAGTACTACTAAATCATGTAGCATTGAATAGCAAATATGAAGATACACATATCAGATATTGTGATTATACTACACACGAGTATTTGCGAAGACAAATTAAGATTTACTTTACATTTAGCATAGAAATGTCAAAGTGACAATCCAGCGATGGTGTTGCCAGTTACATAACAGGAAAGTACGGGTTAAATTGCAATTTGACCATCAACTTGGCAATTACTTAACCAGGCTCTGTGCAACAAAGAAACGTACGCTAACACATCTATGCGAATGCACACGTCGAGAACCTGCTCTTTTCTTTGAGTTTTTGAGTCTGTAAACGATTTACTTCATTTGTCAGATCTCTGTATGATTCTTTTGCGTTCTGTATTGGAGTAT